AGTTCAGTAGCTTCCATTTTTGTTTGTCCAACTTGAGTTGTTTTCACTGTTGTGAGGCTGGAGTGTGCTGTATTGAAAGCTTCATCAGAAAATTGTAAGTTTACATTAAAAAAACTTTTGATAACAGCATCATTATTTAATCAAATGTTTGATGTTTTATCCTATTTATATATATATATTTTTAAGATTTATTCATTTTTATTTCAAAGTCAGATATATATATAGAGGAGGAGAGACAGAGAGGAAGATCTTCTGTCTGATGATTCACTCCTCAAATGAGCGCAACGGCCGGTGCTGCGCCAGTCCGGAGCCAGGAGCCAGGAACCTCCTCTAGGTCTCCCACATGGGTGCAGGGTCCCAAGGCTTTCGGCTGTCCTCGACTGCCTTCCCAGGCCACAAGCAGGGAGCTGGATGGCAAGTGGAGCTGCCAGGATTAGAACCCGTGCTTATATGGGATTCCAGCACATTCTAGACGAGGATTAGCCACTAGGCCATGCCGCTGGGCCCTATTTTTGATATATTTCATCCTAATGAGAAGAGCATTGCAACTTAAACATGGCAAACAAACATCATGTATTTCCTTTATGGGAAGCCTAATGGAGCTGTAACTTACATGTTGAGTGGAGATGCTCCACTCCTGTGTCATGGGTTCACCCTGAACCCCACATTGCTGAGGGAGAAGTACTCCAGAGAATGGGTTGACTGAGGGCACCGAGATGGCATTGCTTTTATTTGCTTTCATGGAACAACAGTGCTGTAATATGTTTTTGTTCTTGTGCAGTGAAATGCTCTCATATCTCAGGTTCAAATCTCAGAAAGATCAGAGTTAATAGAAAACCAAATGGAAGACTCTGGAACTCCTGGCGGAAATAGAGGCATTCCTTTGTAGCCTTTCTCTTAGGCAAAATTACCAGCTGCAAGAAGTCAGGGAGCCGTGCTGGGGGCTGCAGGCCCTCCCGGCCAGTTAGATTGGTTTTCATCTGAGAATCTTTTGAAAGTTTTCCTTCTGCTTCTGTGTTATTAAGGAATAAAAACATAATGTAAGAACATGGAGGGTTATGAAGCATGAAGTTCCATAAATATGTATGCCAAACTGCAAAGGCGGACAATTCCTATTTTCTTCATATATTGGGGTCATATTTCACTCTTGACCTCTCGAATTGAAAAATACATGGAGTTATAAAGCCTTCTTTTCTCTCTTTTATTATTATTTTTTACTTCAATCGGCTGTAGATGCTGGGAACTGTCTTGTAAGGCTTATGTAAGTTTCAGTGGACTTTCCTTACTGGTGTATTGGAATATCTAAAAGTTCATAGCCTTATCAAAAAAGAGCATAATTTACACCTGCTGATGTGCCTTACTGGTAAACTTTAATCTGTTTTTTTTGTTGTATTTATTGTTAAGTTAAAAATAATTGTTACTTTTGACAAGGCTAGTGGGTGGATTTGTGTCTAAAAGCCTGTTTTAAATTATTTTTGCTTAGTCCATAAGAAATATTTTTGTCCTTTGCAATTATTTTTCAGAGTATGAAATAATAAGATGTTACTTGTAGAGAATTTAGGAAATGCTGATAAGCAAAAAAAGAAATAGCATCACCTGCAAACCCACTCCAAAACTCCATTTTTCCTAGTCTGTGTTTACATGTAGGCGATATGCTTATTCTTAGAATGTATTTTTAAATTCTAGAGTAGTGGCAAAGCCATTTCTGAGACAGTTATTGATAGCCTGGTGTTTTTTCTTCCTCCTGAGTAGTCTCATTTACTTTCTGCATAAAATGATGAAAAGAAGAAATACACAGTGGGGAGATTGCCCTCAGTGGGTTGGCACGGCCTGTGTGTGTTTTGCTCCGGCCTTCATGGTGCTTGGGGGACAGTGGGCGAGGAAGTAATATGTCCTAAAAACCGCAGAGTTTAGGTCAGTGTGTATAAGATACCATGTTAGGTATTTTATTTGGAAATTGAAATAGATGAAATTACAACTGGATGATATAATAGATAATAAAATTAGAAACTAAATTTATGAAAAGGAAGGGATCTTAAGATAGAAAAGAGATTGATTATAGAAACTTAAGAATTACAGAATAGGACAGGAAAGGACACTGCGGAGACTGGTCTGAGTTAAGAATTGCACATACAATAATATGAATGTGTACTTTTAATTTGCTAGCTCAAAAAGCAAATTAATTAAGAAACTAAAAGCAGGTTAGTCCTTGGCAGTTGGCAGATGCCTGAGCATTCACCCCAGCACTGGGGCTGCCACCTGAGCCTGCAGGCCCTCAGCCCGTGCTCACTCCTTCCAGTGTGGGTCCTTTCTGCATGCAGGCGTGGACCGAGCCAGAGTATCCCTGGTAGGAGCTGACCTCAAGCAGAGGTGGGAGCCAAGGCTCCTGGCTCCCTTGCAGAGCAGTGAAGAGGGTTAGCTGTGTCTTGCAGTTTGGGCCAGGATCTGCAAAAGGACATCTGCGGGCATGCATCTGAAGCACAGAGGAGGCTCTTCTCTGCCTGGAGCCCAGTTTTGTTTTGAGAGGATATTGGAGGAGCTAAGAGTTGTCTTTCTGGAGGTACCTGCTGTGCTGGGCCCTGAGCTAGGGTATGCTGCCAGCCTTGGCTCTTCCTTTGTTGAGGCTCTGCACTCGGCTCTAGCGGCTAAAGTCCTTGCCTTGAACGCACAAGGATCCCACATGGGCGCCTGTTCTGGTCCCGGCGGCCCCACTTTCCATCCAGCTCCCTGCTTGTGACCTGGGAAGGCAGTCGAGGATGGCCCAATGCTTTGGGATCCTGCACCCGTGTGGGGGACCTGGAGGAGGTTCCTGGCTCCTGGTTCCGGATCAACACAGCACCGGCCATGGCACTCACTTGGGGAGTGAATCATCGGACGGAAGATCTTCCTGTCTGTCTCTCCTCCTCTCCGTGTATCTGACTTTGTAATAAAAATAAATATTTTTTTAAAAAAGGTCATTTACTGACTTTGCAAAGTGTCATTTACAATCAGTGTTTTGGGTACTTGTGTCTGGAAAGATCCTTGTTTCTGTGAACGTCTTGGAGCATTGCGGATTTCTAGAAGGCGTGAACACTGGGGAATGGGGCGGGGGCATGAAGTGGGACGAAGGCTACAGCAAGAGCAGAGCCAGGAGCAGTGTGGCAGGATGTTGTCTCTGGCAGGAGCTCCTGGACTGCGCTTGGCCGCCAGTTCCTGGGCACCACCACTGCCACAGGCCGCTGCCACAGGCCGCTGCCACAGGCCGCTGCCACAGGCCGCTGCTGTGCCTGGAGAACTGTCCCAGCTGCCATAGAACAGCCCTGCTGCTTTAACGGGAGATAGGGAGCTTTGAGTTACCCACTATCCCACCATGCAGTGTACAGAAATGTAAATACTATGCAAATCGTGGTTAGTCTACTTTGGATTGTTAAAGAAATAACAAATTTGGATTTTTAAAGCAAATAATGAAAAACAGTTATGCATTGTCCAGATTCTTTCTAAAAGAAGGTATTTAGAATTTATCTAAAAGGTTGGATGGTAGGTAGGGGACCAGGGGGAGAGAGGAAAAGGAGGGAGGGAGAGACGTCTAGCTGCTCGCTCTCCTCGGGCTGACACAGGCTGGCTCTCATGTGCTTGGTCCATCTTGTGCCTTCCCAGGCATGTTGGCAAGAAGATGAGTCAGATGTGGATTAGCCACAGCTTGATCTCACATTATAGTTGGGGATTAGTGGTGTGCAGGTGGCAGCTTAACTGGCTTACCGTCTGACCAGGTGTATCTTTTGAAAGGCTGGCGTTGTGACATAGCAGATAAAGCTGTCATGTGCTACACCAGCATCCCCTACTGACAGCTGCTTGCGTCCCAGCTGCTCCATTTCTCTGGTAGTGGCCTGGAAAAATCAGCAGAAGATGCCTCAAGTGTTTGGGTCCCTGCCTCCTAGGTTGGAGACCTGGAAGAAGCTCCTGGCTCCTGGCTTTTGCCTGGCCCAGCCTTGCCCTTGCAGCCACCTAGAGAGTGAACCAACAGATGAAAGATCTCATCTTCTCTCCCTGTACCGTCTGCCTCTCCCTCTGCCTTTTCCTCTCCTTATTTCCATGTAACTCTGACTTTCAAATAAATACATTTTATTTTTATTGGAAAGGCAGATTTATAGAGAGATGGAGAGCGAGAGATCTTCCGCCCACTGGTTTACTCCCCAGATGGCTTCAATGGCTAGAGCTGAGCCCATCTGAAGCCAGGAGCCAGGAGCTTCTTCCAGGTCTCCTATGCGGGTGCAGGGTCCCAAGTCTTCTGGCTGTCCTCTGCCACTTTCCCAGGCCACAGACAGGGGGCTGGATGGGAAGTGGAGCAGCCAGGACACGAACCAGGGCCCATATGAGATCCTGGTGCTTGCAAGGCAAGGGCTTTAGCCACTAGATTTCATGCTGGGCCCAAATAAATATATTTTTAAAAAAATATTTTCAGTGCGTTGTTGGTTGAATCTGTGGGTAAGGAGCCTGCAGGCACCAGAGCCAACTGTATGAGGTTGCTTTGAGAAGTCTGTGGGGTAGACACAGTGGCTCTCTTGCTCGGTGCTGGCTTCCTGCTAGTGCGCCTGGGAGGGCATCAGAGGACGATCCAAACACTTGACCCCTTCTCCCCGCCACCCGCCCCCGCTGCCAGCATGTGTGAAAGGAGAGTGAAAGGCCTGGCTTGGCCCACGCGTGGCTGTGGCAGTCCATGCAAGTGGCCTCATTGTCTCTTCCTTTTTGTTTTTGTCACTCTGCCTTTCAAATGAATAACTTTCAAAAATGTTCTTGGAAAATGAAGTTGTTTTAGTGTAAAAAATAGGAAGCTTATGCATAAGAGGGGTCATCAGAAGTTAATAGAAAACATGAAAGACTTAATGAATTTTTAAGATCTCATTTTCTATGTACTTTTGAAGTATCTGTGTATTAAATTTTTGTTGTAATTTTTACTTATGAAAATATTCCCAGATATAATTATTTCCTTTTCAGATTACAACACCATTTATGCCTTCTAGGTCGCCTGCCTGATTCGAGTTCCCTCTGAGGTGGTTAAACAGAGGGCACAGGTCTCTGCCTCTGCCAGAACATTGCAGATTTTCTCAAACATCTTATGTGAAGAGGTAAGATGGATTTTTTTCAGCTTGCTTTCTTTTCTTAAAGCTTTTGTAAGTAGCTAGTGTGGATGCTTCAAGCTCAGGAGCCGTAAAGAAAACTGGAACTAAGTTTAATAGCCAATGACTAATTTTTTTTCGTAAAATGATCTTTATTTTTTTTTCCTTATTTGTTTTGAATTTTTCTTTTTCACATTTCAAAACGCATGCGTCATGAGTGTGACTATTGCCTTTTTGTCCTGAATTGTTCTCTTCCTTTTAGAATAAGATCCTAACCGATTGAAAGTGTGTAATGTGGAGAGTAATATCATATTAAAATGGCACTACAGAATTTGAAGGTCTCAGTATAGCAGTGAGCTAGGAACGCAGACCAGCACCATACCATTTATATCAGAGTGTGAGTTCTGATTTGCTGATTCATTGAAGCTGGGAATCAGACATTAATCTTTTGGGCTGTGTGACTAGGGAGCACCTAGCCGCCTTCCTTGTATCTGTACAGAAGGCTTTTTGTAAAAGTAGAGATTAAGTTACAAAGATATTTCAATGAATTCAGTTCCAGAAAAGTAGTTCTTAATTGTCTGCGAATTAGGTGAGGAGACATCAAATATGAATATACATATGAGGTCAGTCTAGTGGTTGGTTAAATAAATAAATCAGAGCTTGGAAATGTTTAAACTGTTGAGCATATTAATGAATTTCTGATGCTTAAAGCTTTGCAATGTAAATCTATTTGTAATGCTTTTGGAAATATATTTAAAGAATCTGAAATGTCTTTTAAGGGGAAGAATGTTGAATAATAGCAGCAGAAATAAAAATAACATGTAGGTCTCTTTTAAAAGAATTATTTATTTGAAAGACACAGTTACAGAGGGAGGGAGAGAGAATGAACTATCCAGTGGTTCATTCCTTGAGTGGCTGCAGAGGTCAGGGCTGAGCCAGACCAAAGCCAGGTCTTTTCCTGGGTCTGCCACGTGGGTGGCCAAAGCCTGCGTGCTTGGGCTGTCTTTCATTGCCTCCCCCCACTCCCCGCCGCCTTTTATTGGAAGTGCAGCAGCCGAGACATAAACTTGTACCCAAATGGGATGTTGGTGTCACAAGCAGTGATTTCACGTGCTATGCCATGATGCCAGGCCATAATGAACTGCATCATTAGAGACACTCTATTTGGAAGGGAGCCATTATGAGCCAATGTGCCATGGGTGGGTTTTTAACTTGTAAAGAATGTATTTTATTTGTTTGAAAGGCAGAGCTGGAGAGGGGGAGAGACAGAGAAAGAGGTCTATTTGATGGTTCCTCCCCAAATGGCTGGAGTGGGTTATGCTCAGCTCAGAAGCCTGGAACTCCATTTGGGTCTTCCATATAGATTGCTTAAGTGCTTAAGTTATCTACTGCTGCTTTCTCAGGCAGAAGTAGGGAGCTGGATCAGAAGTGGAGTGACTGGGACCCAAACTGGCATGTATGTGGGATGCTAGCATCACAGGCAGTGGCTTAACTTGCTGTGCCATGAAATCTGGCCTGGTTTGTAAAATTTAATCTCTTAAAAAATATTGTAGGTCTAGCACAGTGGTGCACTGCAGTGCTAGCATCTGATGTGGGTGTCAGTTTGGGTCCCAGATGCTCTGCTTCTGCTCCAGTTCTCTACTTAAGGACTAGGGGAGAGTGCATGATGGCCCAGGTGCTTGGGACCCTGTACCTGGAAGAAGCTCTTGGCTCCCAGATTTGGATCAGTTCAGCTCTGGCTCTGGTAGCCATTTAGGGAGTGAACCAGCAGATGGAAGACCTCTGTCACTCCTCTCTCTATAAAATCTACCTTTCAAATAAAAATTTTAAAAAGGTTTTAAAAAAATAGAATACGGTAAACATTTTGGGATTCAAACTTCAGTGCAGGTAAATTTGCTTTATTCAGAATGTCACTCAGAGATCATTGCTATCCTCCCTTTCTGAGCTCTTGCCTTTTTATTTCAGGGTATCCAAGGATTATATCGAGGCTACAAAAGCACAGTTTTAAGAGAGGTAATTCACATAATTTATTCTATAGAGGGACAAAAGAATGATGTAGTCTTTTTAGTAAATTGATACTTCTTAGTACATTTACATTTGTAAATTCTTAGTACAAAATACATTTGAACAAACTTGTTTAAAAATGGAGAAAAAATTGTTGAGTCTTGTCTTGGTTCCTGCACATGAGAGAATGGCAAAGTGGGCTTGCTGGCAGAGCAGTGCTGGTGATTGGCGTGGCCTGCAATCTCCTTGTTATTCTGTGTCTGGCGGCTTGAATGTTAAGAAATAGTGATCATGGGCAGGACACCTTGTTAATTACTGTAACATGGAGAAGTAAGGAAAAGTTAGTACTGGCAGAAACAAATGCCCCCGAAACGTGCATCTCGTTGGCTCTGGGCTTCCTTCTTTAAAGCGTGCTAAGCAGCTCTGTCAGGGCTTGCCAGGGCAGTGTGTTTTGGGGGCAGCTGCTACCCTTTTCTGTGCCTTCTAACTCTAAACTTGGATTCATTGTGTGGGAGATCATCTTGTTGTGTTTGGTTGAAAAAGCAAAACTTTCCCTCAAATAAGTTACAGAGGGGATGGAGGATGCAGAGAGATCTGTCTGCTGGCTCATGGCTCTAGGGGCTGCGATGGTCAGGGCGGGGGTCAGGCCAAAGCTAGGCGCCTGGAGCTCCATCCAGACCTCCCACATGGACTGAGGGACCATGGACTTGGGTCATTTTCTGCTGCTTTTCTGGGTGCATTGTCAGGGAGCTGGATTGGAAATGGAGCAGCCAGGACTGGCGCCAATACTCATGTTGGAAGCCAGTGTTACCTCACTACGCCACAATGCTAACTTCCGTAAAAACGCTGTTAATTCAGATAAAGATTGTCCATTTTGAATGTTGAAATTCTTCACTTTATTTCCAGTTGTCCTTTTTATTTTATTTTTTTTTTAAAGATTTATTTTTATTATTTTTTATTGGAAAGGCGGATATACAGAGAGGAGAGACAGAGAGGAAGATCTTCCGTCCGATGATTCACTCCCCAAGTGAGCCGCAACGGGCCGATACTATGCCGATCCGAAGCCAGGAGCCTCTTCCGGGTCTCCCACGCGGGTGCAGGGTCCCAAAGCTTTGGGCCGTCCTCGACTGCTTTCCCAGGCCACAGGCAGGGAGCTGGAAGGGAAGCGGGGCTGCCGGGATTAGAACCGGCGCCCATATGGGATCCCGGGCGTGCAAGGCGAGGACTTAACCACTTGCGCCACCGCGCCGGGCCCTGTCCTTTTTATTTTTAAATTCCAGTTTTAATGATATACCAGCATTGTTACATGTGATTTAGGACTGATTTCCATAAGGTAACAATCTGTAGTATACTGTATGTGGTGTTTGTTTATTTTATTAAGATTTATTTATTTGGGGCCCAGTGTGGTAGCCTAGCGGCTAAAGTCCTTGCCTTGAATCCATAAAGACGCCGGTTCTAATCCCGGCGGCCTCGCTTCCCATCCAGCTCCCTGCTTGTGGCCTGAGAAAGCAGTCGAGGACGGCCCAAAGCCTTGGGGCCCTGTACCACGTGGGAGACCCAAATGAGGCTCCTGGCTTCAGCTCTGCTCGGCTGCAGCCATTGCAGCCACTTGGAGTGAATCATTGGACAGATGATCTTTCTCTGTCTCCCCCCCCCCCCCGTATACCTGACTGTCCAACAAGATTTGTTTATTTGAAGCCTAGGATTTAGAGAGCACGAGCTTCCATCCACTGGTTCACAATCCAGAGGGCTGCAGTGGGCAGAGCTTGGCCTGTCCTAAGCTTGGTTCCATGAGCTTCTTCCAAGTCTTCCACGGGGGTGCAGGGGCTGAAGAACTTGGGCCATCTCTCAGTGTTTTCCCAGGTGCATTTTCAGGGCCTGGATCAGAAGTGGAGCAGTCAGGACTCAAACCCATGTCTCTATGAAATGCCGGTGTCACAGGGCAGCTTTACCTGCTGTGATGTCACACTGGCCCTGATGGTGTTGATTTTTAAAGTATTTGTTTTGGTGGTTAACTGAGTTTTTCAGGGGTGTGTGTGTGTGTGTGTGTGTGTGTGAGAGAGAGAGAGAGAGAGAGAGAGAGAGAGAGAGAGAGACTTACGTCTTTCAAAACTATCACATCTACTTTAGCTTCATTCTCAGCTCAACTACTGATTGCTGAATCGGTCAGACCTCACCAGGTACAGGTAAAGGGGGAGCAGAAAGGTGGTGCTTATTTTGTCCAAGAGGCACTGAGTAAATGAATCCATTTCATGCCAGCGAAGGCGGATTTTGCATACATACAGATGAAGCACATGTTTCCAACTGTGTTCCATTCTTTTAAAAATTTGTTTTGACACATGTCATGCTGGTAATTAATTTCTAGGTCGCAGTCCTCTCACAAGGAATGACCTTACTGAGATGACTGTGTTTACTCAAAGTGCCAGTGCTTTGTTGCAGATTTAATTGCGGTCTTCTGCATTGTGCGTATTCATAAAAGATACTTCAGACTTGATTTTAGTTGAGGTATTTCTTTTGCAAATATTTCATGATAGAATTGGAGAGGAATTATTGCTGAATGAAACATAGCTTCTTTCCAAAACTAGAAAAATAAGAAGTGATATATCTGCTTTAGGCAGAATTTCTGCATTATGAACAGGTTCTCGCATTAGTCTGACACCAGTATCACTTCTTGCCAAGAGCTCGTTTGTTTCAATAAGAAAAAGCATGGAAATCTTAGAATCACTGAGAACTTTTGCTGTTTATTTTGGGTGCAATTTTTTTCTTTAAAATCATTTTTGTCTCTGTAGCAGTTGCCCATTAGAATGAGATTGAAGTTTGAATCTGTGCATTATAAAATAGATGATGTGTGTTCTTTAGATTCTGTAAATTCTGTCATGCATTTTTATTGCATTTTATGCTTGTGGCGATTGCTTGCTCAATCCCTTAACATCCTAAACTGTGTTAGTTCAGGTGCCTTTTTAGACGGAGTCTGAGTAAGGTCAGCAGATTATACTGTTTGCCTCATCCTTCCAGGATTCGTTTTTGTTATGATCTTGGCCAAATTAGTTGTGGTCCCACACTATGGTGCATTGCGGGTCCGGCATTAAAATGGAGATGCGGAGCTAACTCCTAACTGCTGTCTGTGGCTCAGGTGCTTCCAGGGGGCTCACTGACCTGCAGGTTAGGGGAGAGCAGCCTCATACTGTTGGATGTGAGTTTGAAGGACTTGGATAGAGGGAAAAAGAGAAGCCACTAAATCAAAATGAAATAGGAATCAGTTAAGCTCAGCAAATGTCTTTCATCCCCTCGCTTGTACTCGGCAGTCATGTTTGGAGTGCCCGCTGCGTGTTGAGAATTGTCAGAACATGGGTCCCCCCACAGCGATCACATTGTCGGGGAAGCACGCGGGGAAGTGGATTCGTTACAGTGCAGTGCTGTGATTGCCACAGCAATGGGTGCGTACGAGGTGCAGCTGGGGTGTTAGAAGAACCAATGCTCGAGTGGTACTCAGATGGCATTTGTTCCCTTAATCGAAATGAGTCTTAATTCTTGAACCAATGGCTTTTGGAAATGAGGGAGACAGCCCCTTGTAACGGCCCCAGCAGCACGAGGACGTGGGAGGACGCGTGTCCGTCAGTGGTCTGAGCAGAACTGGGCTTTGCATCTGGAAACAACAGTGGTTTTTCGCTGCCTCGGTGAACCAGGTGAAGGCTCTTGAGGCAAAGTGGGGTGTCTGCCAGCAGGAGAGGTTGAACCTGCAGCCCCAGCTGGACCTTCGCCAGGGGACCAGAGTGGAACACATTGAAAAAGCCGAAAGAAAGAGCCTGTTGAGTATCCCGTGGAGTGGAGAGGATAAATTTTTTTTTGTAAGATTTATTTATTTTTATTGGAAAGGCAGATATACAGAGAGGAAAAGTGACAGAGAGGAAGATCTTCCGTCCAACGATGCACTCCCCAAGTGACCACAGCGTCTGGAGCTGAGCCAACAGAAGCCAGGAGCCTCTTCCAGGTCTCGCACGCGGGTGCAGGGTCCCAAGGCTTTGGGCCGTCCTCGGCTGCTTTCCCAGGCTACAAGCAGGGAGCTGGATGTGAAGTGGAGCTGCCAGGATTAGAAGCAGCAACCATAAAGTTTTCTGGCATGTTTAAGGCAAGAACTTTAGCCATTACACTATTGCACTTAGCCTGAGGGGATGAATTTTTGATGTGTCACTCTTGGCTGGACAACTCTCAAAGTGAAGAGCTGGTTGGAGCCGGCTACTCCTGGTTTCTTTTTGGTAGATGAAAGTAGCCAATGCAGAGCTGGCAGAGTCAGGGTTTTCACCTGCACCCCAGCTTTGTTGCCAGCCATCAGACAGGTTTAACACATGATTTAGCTGCTGTAGAAGCTCATTGATGCCTCTGGTCCTTACATAAAAAAATTACCATTCTGAAAAATTCCCTCCAAAGTGGTTAGAGTAGTGTTCCAAACGTGGATGTTTGCTCTTCTGTCTTCAGACAGTATTACTGGGCTTAGGAACCTTTAAAGATCAAGGCACAAAAAGGTTCCTTCAGGGTCTCCTGTTCAGCTCTGTGGTCTTTCCGCTCAGTGCATTTCCCAGCAACTGCTTGGGTTTTTCCAGAGATGCTCTCCGTAGGTGTCAGCTCTTTTTTGACCTCAGACATCTTGGACATAATTTCATATTATTTCATGAAGAACAGCATCTGTTTTATGATTGTGTATTAACTGTGCTGAACAAATAAACCATTGTTTAACTAGTTTCCCACTGACAGGTATTATAAAGGTAGTGAAATGAATTATACTGTATATCTGTCATTTTGCAAATAATTCAGAATACATTTTTATATGCTAAGAAGTAAAATTACCTAACTAATTGTGTAAGCTTTTGTAATTTTCATAGGTAACAAATTACACTTCATTTCATAGGTGAAACAAATTACCAGTTAACATTTTATTTATTTATCTTTTAAGATTTATTTATTTTTATTGGAAAGGCAAATATACAAAGAGAAGGAGATACAGAAAGATC